GAGCAATGGCCTCCAACCAAAGAGCGATGGCCTCCAGCCTAAGAGCGATTGCCTATGACAGATGGCCTCCAAGCTAAGCTGGACAGACTGTTCGTGCGGCCAGAAAGATCAGTTGGGTTTGTCCTTGAGATAAACATGGCAGTGCAATAATGGACGTTTATCTTCACAGCGAGTAAGGGAGGCATGGGCAGGAAGACTATGTGATGATTGGAAGAAATTACAGCTTGTTCTCGGGAAAGCTAGGGTTGGCCTCATTTTAGGAATTGCATTCTTTAGGAATTGCTAGGAAGGTGCCGCACCTGCATTTCCCTGAGGGTACCCAATCATACCCTACTATTAGCTGCAAGTACGGTTGCAAGGGTGGTGTCGTGATTTGGTCTGGCTCTTTCAACAGGACCCGGTTGAAACGAAGCGCTACCATGACGCAGTCTGCCATTGTCGTTGGTGAATGTTAGTAAAAGATTCTCTAGGGGTTGACCAGCTGGTCAGCCGCCTGACAAAATGACAGATGGATCCTTGATGAGATTAGCATCGCCCCGAGTATCACGTTAGGCTATAATGGCCAAAGCCCCTCTTTGCCTCTTTCTACTGTTCAACCGAGCGGAGACTGCGTTCACCAGGTCTACAAATCCCAGGCAAGTCCAGTTTGGGTCGGTGCGTTGGTGGTTGTGAAGTGGGCATAGACAACAGCTGCACAAGAAAGAAGGTCACTGGATGAATCAATGCATAGGCAGTCCGACTGTTTGAACCTTTCATGTACCTCCCCACGGGAAAGCCACTCATTCCGACAGAAAGCATTTTTTGCTTGAGATCCAACACATTCCAAAACAAAAGTCCTCACCCCTTAGAAGTAATGGTTGGCACACATTGGTGGCCAGCTTCAATATTGTTCATATCCCGACAGGCGGAGGTCTACGAGGAGCAGCTTCGTGCGCTTCAGGGGGAGATGGATGCGCTGGACGCGGAGGTGGGAGATGAGACACGGTGGTGATGTTTTTCATTTTGCCCCATAGCTGTGCGGCACCGCTGGTGGAAGCTGTGCGTAAGAGAACTTGAGGGAAGTGATCATTGTCCATGTGTGGATTTGTACTCGAGGACCCGTCATCGGGACTGGAGTGGACCTGATGACGTGTATCCATGTGACACAAGTTGAGTCATTTGATGAAGTACTAGGAGCAAGAACGCTACTAGGAGCAAAGGGCATCGCTACTAGGAGCAAGGACGCTACTAGGGGCTCCTGGCATCGCTACTAGGAACAAGGACGCTACTAGGCAGATGCCGCACGAGGTGGGCGTTCGCAGCCTCACCGATGAGATCACCAAGAGTCAAACGCCTTTGGTGGGACACAACTGAGCCTTGGACTCACACCACCATAGCCTGGGATTGCGGCAAGGGCTCAAGAACCGATGAGTTTAGTTTGGATAGATCTATAGAATCTATAGCTTGGCACGTGGAATTGCTTTGATCATCCTTGATCATAGTTGTTCCTTTCCCAGAAGCCATTGGCAATTTTGCTCTCAAAGGACAGTGATGTAGGGTTGACATGATGTTTCCTATAAGTCATAAGAGCTTTTGAACATGTTGTTCCTTCTGTCTCATCTAATGCAGCATGAACCCACTGGGATTTGTCCTGAGAAGTCAGCATCAGTAGTCCCAGTCACAAAAGTCAAAAAAGTTTAGTAGCTTGGAATGGAAATGATGTCCATTGGGAACAACTCGAGACTTCTTTGTCGGGAGCAATAGAGGATGGTTCTTTTCTCAAATTGTGTTAGTCTCTGAGAACCCGGCAAAAATTTGCAGTTCCTTTTCGCAGTTGCTTTTTTGGGGCCGGGGGGATTGCGCAATTTCATAAGCTCACCACTAGAAAAGTGGTTCCTATCCCTCACAGATGAAGTCATGTTATGTGTTTGCTGTCAATTGGGGCTTTGGACCAAAATGCCAGTCATTGCTACTCTGCTTGCTCCATCAACACCCTATGAGGAACATTGGCCCATCTTCGGAATTGGTCGCGATAGGATCCATGTTCACCCTTTTCTGGTACATTGTACCGGCATTGGGAGCCACCATAAGATACCATGAGGAATGAGATGAGATAGGTCCAGAGCCTCAGAGCGGTGCCATGTGAGGCTTTTACGACTTCCTGCACCTCTACCAGTCCTTCTACGCGGATCTTCCAGAGTCAATCCAGGAATTCAAGGTGACGACCCAGGGTCTCCTAGTGGGGGTCGGGGGTGAGAGGGTTTAAATCCCCTCAATGGATGGATTGGTCTTGGTATGTGATTGTCTACTCCATAGAAGCTCTGTGTGATTTACTTGGATCTTACTCTGTGTCATAGTCCCATCTACTATGTCTATCAATGAGTGTACAGTTGCTTACATGAGTCATCATACAAGGAATCCAGGTAGTCCAGTAGGATGATTCACTTCAGTTCTTTTTCGCCCAACCCTTCGGTGGGCCAGAGAGTTCAATGGGAAGTTGTTCCAGGCTTCCTGGCTCCAACTCTTCCCGCAGACCTTGGACACCAAGTTCCTGGCCGAGGTGCATCCGTGCCGAAAGAGCTTCTCACGCACGGAACTAGACAATGCATCTAATTATTGCACTCCTTGCACAGTATCTCCTTTTAGAGCATAGCTTCTTTTGTGAGGTCCATTCTTTAAGTAATTTGACATACCCATTGGGTATGTCAATACCCAGAACATTTGTCCTCCAGCAATGTCCTGTTCACTACCGAAGCCCTGCCAAAAAAATATTCCAACATACTTGCTCATCCTTGTCCTGTATTTGCCCCTATGGCTAGAGTCTGGATCCTAGGTTGGTTTCCTTTGGTCCATTCACTACGAGGTTCTTTAGTGCGGACTCATCAGAGGCGAAAAGCAGAGCTATTGTCAAGTGTTCTCTTTGTTTGAGATCCGGTTTTGCATTTGGAAAGGGGAAAATAAATCTCATCTGATTCATTTGGGTGTGTTTGCTTATTTTTGGTACGTAAGGGGCCGGGCATTTATGCATGTTTTTAGCTTTCGTGGCTTGACGTCACTTGTGCTTGGCCTTGGATGGGGTGGGGGTGGGGTGGGGTGGGGTTCTATTGACGTCACTTGTAAACATACTTGATGCTATGCTTCGATTCGCTTCGCTTGCAAACGTAGAAAAAGTCACTCGAGACTTTGAGACCGGATAACTGCTGTATGCACAGGTGCTCATAACTGTAGCGAAACGTTTAAAAGCAAACATTCCGAGCAACCCTTACAGCACTTGAGCCTCCTCACAAGCAACCCTCTCCGTCCAAAAACGCTCCAGACGTGGGTAAGTAGACACTTGCAAGCAAACGATACGTTCAAAGAACATCAAAGACGCACGGCCCCTTGGGGGCGCATGCAGCTCCCTTTTTTCAATAGTGCTTAGTAGTTGGTGCTTATTGCTTATCCAAGTAGATCCCGCATGAGGGGGAGGTAGAATCCTTCGTTGTGTCCGCTGCGATGAAACAATGCAGCCCTTGCACGTGCCCCTGTTACCAAAACATATCCGGCTGGATATTTATTGTGAACGCTGCCAGCTTGCTGCTTTGTCAGCCAGGCGCATGAGCTGCTGGTTGGCCTCCAACCACCTGCGAACCTCAAGGGCCTTTGCGACTTCATGATGCAGGTGACTCCGCAAAGACCACGAGTTCTCGCGCTCCAAACGGAATTTCTCGCATTCGTCATCATCATCCCGGTCTAACTTGGTCGAACATGCACCGCACCAGCGGTGCTTGGATGGGCCCGGATGGACTTCTGCTTTTTGGAGGAGAAGAACAATGAAGAACACTGTCACTCTTGGATTGCTTTCAAAGCTTTCATGTTGATCAGGACTGAATCTCGACAATAGCTCTTTAGTCACAAAATAACGAAGCGCAACTGTGAGTAGAGAACCTTTTCCATCCTTTTTTCACTTCTCGCTTGTACACACCGCGGAAAGCGAGATCGTCCTGAAAAGAGATCGTGTTGAAGTAAAGACCAAAACAGGGTTTGGGTGGCTTTAGTGCTATTTGTGCACTTCATGGAATAAGTCTTGAGCTAGAAAAGAGTTTTTGAGAATGTTGATAGCTCTTTTGTAGGGCAAGCTTAGTCAGAATTCCTGCGAGAGGGGCTGATACTGGAAGGGCTGCTGCCCAAGACTCTCGGCATGGTGCAATGCCTTTTTGTTTCTGTCGCCCTTTGTACCTAGAGCCCTTTTTCTATAAGAAACAATGAATAATCAGTGAGCTTAAAGTGAGCAGCTAAGGGAAGTCACTCAATCCCCTATCTCTGTTTCACCTTTGGTTTGCCCGGGGGGGCCCTGCCTGGATTCTTTTCTGGCTTAGCTTGTTCTGGGGGGGACTCTCCTGAGTCGATCCTCTTCTCTGCCACAAAAGGATATTTGCAATAGTTCTTGATCACTCAAAGTACTTATTTTGGGGGATGGACATTTTCCCGTAAAGCACATGTGTAGGCTATTCTATTCATCCGTCCATCCTGTATTCAAAAATCCGTGCCCGCGGACACCATCACGGCGTCGCATTGCAAAGCTGGCTTTCCATATGCTCATTTAACAACGCTCTCTTCCTTATGCGCGCTGTGCTCCACTTCATCCATTCTGTTCAGTTCTTCTTTCAGTTTCCTCTAATCCACTCACCACACTCCCGTTTCACTCCACTGTATTCACACAACCCCCATTTGCTTCAGTGCACTCCAAGTGGGTCACACTCAATGAGTTCATAGGACATGCAGGACAGCGTCTAACGTTGCTCCAAGTCCACAAACCCAGACTTTCAAATGCTAGTGCTGAGCACGCAATCTGCAAGACCATCTGACTTGTGAACAAAAGGCCTTGAATGAAGACCATGTCCTTAGATTGAAGTTTGACAAGGTGCCCATTGATGCCAGCCCAGGTTGTTTCTTTGTTTCTGGTTGATTTTGGTTTTCAGGATGGGCTCTTGTGATGGTGATACCACTCTCTAACCCCATACTACAGGCACCTCAGACTGAGTGTAGTCTTGCCTCACCGATCTGTAAAGCTTTCTTCAGGCGGTGGGAGTGATGAACGTGATGGCAGGGTAGCTAAAGTTCTTTATCGCTATTTGACGATCGGCCACCACGGGAAGGTCAAACAGATTTTAGCGATTTGTGATAAGTGTTCATGTTTGTTTGGGGCGAGGCCACGATCCAGGCTCATGAGGGGTAAGCCTTTTGAACAGCCAAACTTAGAAGCACGGCCTGTCGCGTCTCAGATCGCGAGCGTGAACATGAGTAGTATGGTCGCCTTGTTTCTTGTTCACACGAGTGCAATTTTGGTATTCTAGCTGCACAGTCAAACGTCATCATGCAAAAGGTGTTTGTAGATGATCAAACTTGCAGCATGCTGCATAGCGCTGGTGACCGCTGGTGGTGCCTGCACAATTGCCACTCAAAGCACTTCTAACAAGCTTGTAAGAAGCCAATCTTGAAGCCGCTTCTCATTAGCAATCAGGTAGCATGTCCTTGAGGATCTTGCTTGGAGCTTAAGACTGGGCCAGTGCATGCACCCGCATGGCTAAAAGCGCCCACGCGGAAAAATGGTCATACGCGTGCGACTTGATACAGCGCACCTTGTTTTTCATTTGGGCGGTGGTTTTTTGGTGACGTGTCGGCATTTCATTGCGCACTCTCACATCATCGAATTAGCACTCTACTTTGCTGACTTTGCCCTTGTTGTTTCGTTCAACGGGGGTGGGGTAAGGCCTCCAAGACCGACTCAACACCAGAGCCTTTGCCCGTGACCTTCGAGGCAGCACTCCGTCAATTGTGGTCAACGCTTTGTTTGTGTCCACTGCTTCACCAGGTGTTCGCAGCAAAGTCGGAATTTCAATCTGTGCACCCACCGGCTGCAGGTCAATAACCTCACGGGAGTCGAGTATCGTTTGCCAAACGTTGGAGGCAGGGTTGGCAACGCCCGATTTTGTGCCCTCGAAAGAGACGATATGGCTTGCATCGCTTGGAAAATGCGTTGGTTGATTCATTGATGCACCAGGACAACGGATCAAGCTGGGTCAATATATGTTGTTCAATTGTTCTTGAATGTGTTTGAAGCTAGTTAAAAGAATTCGATAATTACGCAAATAACACAAAGTGCTCGGCATCGCTCCTGTTCTCTCAGACAATCTGCGTGGTTGATACAGCCTCCTTTCAAGTGTGTCCATAAAGCAATCCATGTTCCCCACTCTCCAAACGTATTATATATATATATACCCAGTGTCCAGTGTTCTCAACGAAATAGTTCCTGCACAACATGTGCAGAATGTGTTTTGCAAATTGTGTGTCCGGAAGCATTCAACTCCAAAACTTGGGCAACCTGGTCCACTGTTGTGGGTAAATTCATGTACAATGTAAATTCTGATGTTTCAGGACGTGTGATTGATTCATCCATGTCGTACCATGTCTTTAGCTGATCGAAGTTCCAGGCGAAGCTTTGTTGGAGGAGGACGGGTCTCATGAGGTGCGGTTTCTGGAAAATAATTGAAGAATAGATCGGTCGAAAAGTGTGTTGTTTGTTTCATGAATCTAAGACCTAAGACGGATGGCTTGGAAAATATTGACAGGAACTCCACAAAATGATCCAATGGTATTGTTCGAACATATTTCCCGTAACATTGCGTTTCCTGGAGGAACAATTTGACCCGAAGACATTCTGCAAATACCAGGCCCTCTCAGCACATTTTAACAAGATTCCATTGGACAAAAAGAACTGAGATTCCACCTCCATTCTGTTATTCTGTTTGAATGGCTGCTGAAAGGTTGGCAAGTTCTGGAACAAGACCAGAGAGAAGATCTTGCTGTAAGTTACTGTAAGTACAGGGTGTGTGGTATGGCCAGGTGGTGCAGGATGTTGAATGCTCATTAAATAGTCACTCTGACAAACAAACAAAATCTTACCTTATTTGCGTTATTTGGCTGCACGGGTTTGTGCTGGTGATCAAGCACCTACAACAGCATGTTCTCCGATTGAATGCTAAGATGTTTGTCGCGAACTGCCATTCATTTTGGCGACCAAAGCTTCAGAAGCATGCAGCATCCCCAAGCAAACTCGCATGTCTAGATTTGGTCGGGTTCTCTGGTGGTGCCTCCCACGTGATGTATCTGCGCTAGATACATGGGTACCTTCAGGGAACATGCTCCTTTGCAGAATCCGTCAAACCATGTCCAACATCTCCAACAAGGTTTGATCAATGATTGACTGGTTGGTTGCTGAGGTTCATTTGGCGGTGCATTCGAGAAGTGTGTTAAAAAGTTTTGGGACAACCTTTGATTCCGTATTTGTTGAACTCCGAACTCCCAACGCTGCGATTCCAGCAGGCAGGCTACGATGCCCTGATGACCTCATTGGTATCTTGACACCAGGGTGTATTCACGGCTCCTCTAGAGAATGTTGACTTTGTGAAGCATGTTGGATGGATGTGTTTGAGGGATAGACTGGTTGGTTGCAGCACCTACTTTCTTACAAAGGCTGAACCCTTGTGCCAACCAGAATGAAATTTCACCACAGCTTTGACGATGCCCCGAATGCCTGTAGCTACAGCGCGATGGAAGGTGGGTTGCTAGTTGGATTGTTGGACAGGACTCAGCTGGAGATCACTCAAGGTTTTTGGATGCCTGATGAAGAGCTACCTGTGCAGGTCAAGCGTGACAGTGTGGTTTTCATCAATAACTTAGGACGGAGCAAATTGGCTGACCACACAGGTCATCCCATGTTTTGCACAGAGGCCATCCAAAAGATCCTGAGTAGTGCATCGCTTCTAGTAAACAAGTGCCTTACTAGTAGTAACAAGAAGCTACTAGGGGCTCCTGGCCT